TATTGCACAGTACAATCAACATCCTCCAAAATGGGACATACATAGTTTTGTACAACCATAACATACTTAAATAATTCAATTTAAAAGCAGTTTACCTAGTATGAGAGTTAATCCGGTAATTATTTATGAAAAGTATAGAATACTAAAACAATTACAAACATATGAATATTTATCATCTCATGCAAATTTTTAAAATGTTTTGATTTTAAAATAATAAATATAAGGTCTACAAAATCGATTTAGCATTAAATTATACACATAACTTACTGACATAACTTTCATATATAACGTGTATTGGTCAATTTGATGAAATCAACGCCTTTTTTTAAATATCAAAATTCAAAACCTACATTCTTACAAACATTTTATAGAACAATCCACCAGTTCCTGATAATTCCTTAAAACTGTTTTTATTTTAACACTAGCTGGGACCCGGGGCTTCCAGTGTTCGATCGGTATGGTGCAAATAACCGTGTGAGCATAAAAAACCCTATAATTTTGTCATTACAAACAGACACTTCGATTTTATTTATTTGTATAAATTATATCGAAGTTCTGTACAAAGCTAGAATAGAGAAAATCCTATTACTTTACTGAACTATTACATTTGCTAGGCTCTCATTGTAACCTTATTTCATCACATCACAAAAACAGCCTTTGATATTCCACTGCTGGACATGGGCCTCTTGTTATTGAGGATGTTCTGGCCTACTCAATTTTATTTAATCCCATCTGGTTTTCGTATTCCGTTTTCTTTCCTTTACGGAGTAAGGTTAGTCAATTGGTGGACCGAAGTAACTATCTGAAATTCAATTTAATACTAGTGATATATTGAGAAACAAATGCATACGTCAACAGTCAACACAAACATTTGATCGTCACCGTTTACCACAAAGCGGTTTTGATTCGCACCTTGTTAACTGTATCTCCTTTAAAACATGATGCATGATAATAACTCTGGTTAATAAACTTAAACCAACTCAAACTTTAGTATTTAATTGTGGAATTAAAATGAATGTAAGTACCTACTAGTGAAGTAAGTGACCGATAGGCCAATGAGCCTATAGTTTAGCAGGGATGGTTTTCCTGCTACTTGTACCTTTTTTTTTTTTTTTTTTTTTTTTTTTTTTTTTTTCGTGCGGAAATCCCCTCGGATACCACCTGTCGGTGGCATGTCGGACTCGAACCGACTAAAACCGCACGCCTTCGCCGGGTATTAATAGCCGGGGAACCAGGTATACCCTAGAAAGGAAGGCCCTGGTGCCCCGACATACCTCGGGTCATCTACAGACGAGTAGACGACCCCCGCCCCGTGTGGGAACCCCATGTTCCCTGTGCTCCCTGGAAGCGAGCGCGCTCCGCAACGCGCTCGCCGCCACCCCGGCCTGCTTCTGCTAGGGTGACAGATGGCCTCACCTGTCACCCCCAGGCCTGCGCTTATGGAGGACGGAGGTCGTTCTGCGACCTCCGGCGCCTAAGTCGCCTGCGCTGCCTGGCCCATGCCCGGGCCTGGCGGGCCGGGAGAGTTCTAAACCTCTCCCGCTCCCGCTCCGCCGTCTCCTTCGCGAGCATAACTTGATCGCAGAAGGAGACGGCAGAGTTCCACGCACTCTCACTCCGCACGATAGCCGCAATCAGGCTATCGAGCGAGAGAACTCCCACTCCGATGGCCGCCACGAGGTCTCGCCTCTGCTCAACCCACGCCGGGCACTCTGCCAGCGTGTGGAGAGCCGTGTCCACGGTCTGGCCATCGCAGTGGTGGCACTCAGGCGTTGGCTCCTTGCGGATCAGACACAGGTGATCTCCGAAACATCCCTTCCCAGTGATCACCTGCGTCAATCGGTATGAGAGGGTCCCGTGACGCCTCTCGAGCCAATCCTCCATAACGGGTCTTACCGCCGCAATGACGGCGTGCCCAGCGCTCGGTTGCCCGAGTCGTTCCCTCCACTCCCCTATGATGACCTGGCGGAGTTGGGATTTCCGGTCATCGATTTCTCGAATCTCGGGGCATCGACCCAACTCCTGCGCCTCCTTGCGCCACTGATACAGTGCCGCAAGGGCTCTCGCCTCCAGGTCCCACGGTGGAGTTCCGGCCAGGAGACTCGCTGCCTCAAAGGAGATCGTGCGGTACCCCCTTATGATCCTGATGGCCAGCATTCGCTGCGGTCGTCGCAGTATCGCGACGTTGCTGGCCTTCAGGGCCCCCGCCCATACCGGGCACCCGTAAAGGGCCATGGACCGCACAACCCCCGAGTAGAGTCTCCTGCAGGAGTCATCGGGTCCCTTCATGTTGGGCAGCAGCGCGCCAACGCACGCGCTGCCCCAACCAACTTGGGGACCAGACCTCGGAAATGATATCCGAAGTCCCATCGGCCATCGAGTACGAGCCCCAGATACCTGATCGAGGGCTCGATGCCGATCCTGCTACTTGTACCTAAGACGGCTTGCGGTTTTTGGTCGGTTCGAGTTCGACATTAAAACCGGTAGTTATTATCCGAGGGGATTTCCGCGCAGAAAAAACGGTTGCCTATAGTTTACTAAAAACAAAGCTGTTTCCAATTGTATTCGATAAATAAGAAGCATTAAATTATATTTCAAATTTAAATGTAAGTAAGTAGTAAGGGTAATTTTAATTGCATTTAAAACACAACAATATTACAGTGTTGTGTTTTAACTGCAATTGATTAAAATACAACACTGTATATAATGCCATCTTAATTCTGTATATTTAATATATATGTACATAATTAAGATGTTATGACATACCTTCTCTTCTTCACTGACAGCATCTGTATTATCAATTTATTTAAATGAAATTGTTTTCTTCAATGTTAATGTAGACAAGATGTCATTTACTTATAGTAATTTCGATCACATCATTGCTATTCATACATGCTAAGGACATCCTTAATGGTTTTAATACCTAAGAGGAGTGCATTTAAATCTTCATACACCTAAAAGGAAAGATATATTATGTTTTATTGTAAATAAATAAGGTTATGTTCAATGAACATATCGCTCCTTGATCGGTTGATGTCGAAGAGTCGTTCCTCGCAATTATTCAGAAATACAACCTTGTGGAGATTTTCCATCTGAAGCGTTGAGCGAGATAAGAAGTTTCTTGAAAAGCGCAGAATGGTGGAGCGTCAATTATCCATACGGTGGGAATGGAAGATTTATAAAGTTTGGCGTAAAAGAAAGCTGCGGCCGGTATTGGTCCAAGCAATTCCTCGAAACATAAGCCTTGTAGAATACAGAATAAAGTCACTATGTGCATGCAATGTGTCATGCTGATCTGCAAAATCCTAGCAATTCACGATTCGAGTCTAAATCTATTGAATGTGATCCAGTGGGAAATGATGGTTCTGGGATGCCTCTGTCCACAATTGAAAATGGAATTCCATATGCGGTCGAACTTGTGCCATATAAAGTTGTAGGTGTTGGGCCGGGCTCTCAAGTTGAGGCTATACTACAAACGGTATCGAATAAATACGTTATTAGTATCTTTAATTTTGTTCAGGTATTTTTTTTAAAGTTCATCAAATGGTAAGAGGGTTACGAAATGATACTCGTTATTTGTTAAACAATAAAAAATATAATGTTTCCAATAGTTTATTATTATTATTTGAAGCTCATTAATCAATTATACCGAATGAAATTACCATAATATGCTTTTATTGAACTTATGTATCAAATTGAAATCGTCATTTATTTATATTTTTGCGGTCCCTTCAACTATAAATAGATGCTTCTAAAACAATGCAGTTAAAAGATATGGTAGATACGGTAAACTAACACCTACAGGGAGATTGTGTATGAAAGAGTCAGTTTTTAAAAGAGCCGGTATGATTTTTAGTATTTACCGATATTACTCTACCTTTTTTTTCATTTTTGTTCTGTGCGGAATCCCCTCGGAGACCACTTACCGGTGGCAATGTCGGACTCGAACCAACTAAAACGCCGTCTTAGGTACCACTAGTCGGGGAAACAGGTGTACGTGAAAGGAAATCCCTGGGGCCCGACGTACCTCGGTCCATCTACAACAGGTAGACGACCCCCCCCCCCGGTCGTCTACCCGCCGTAGTTTTTTTTTTTTGTTTTTTTTTTTAATACTTACACCTCCGATGCTGTTTCGGAGCCTATTCTACGCTAGTCAATCCATACATACAATTTCTCGCTGTTGCTACTTCTCGTAATTTCATTCCGCATACCACACATTCACTCTGTATTCATTCTGTCCAGGTGGGATTCCTGTAATTCTAACTAAGCTTATTTTTATTTATTTCCTTTAGTTTCGTAGCAGGTAAGTAACTTTGACAATACAGTTTTTATTTAACATTAATACTATTGTTATACTAATAATTCTAGTTTCTTAGGGCTTAACACTTAGACATTGATACTTATGCCATACTTATTATTGTACATCACTTACGACTAAACAAACTTATGACAACTTTAATATTTTACACATTTATATACTATACAGCTTACACTCTACTTACTTGCTATCTTACTATATTGTTAACAACAATAATATAATATTATTTTGTAACATATATTCTTAAACTCTATTTCTTTTATATACTATTTTTATTATTTCTGTACAGTATTTTATGAACAAGTTTCTATTTTTACTTTCCACTATTTTATTTAAATTTTCAATTTTTAATTTAGTATCTATTGCCTGTTCGACGTATAACCTCTGCCTGTCGAAGGCCGGGCACTCCACGATCAGGTGGGGCACCGTTTCGTCGACATTCGGGTCACAAATGCATGATGGGTTCTCTTTACACTTGAATCGCGTCAAGTATTCAGAGAACCCACCATGCCCCGTAAATAGCTGGGTTGTAGTACCAGCGATCTCCAACTTACGAACTACACCGTATGGAGCTAGTGCGCAGGGGAAGAAGAGCTTGGTAACGGAGGCGGTCTCGCCCTCTTTGTACCTCTTGTTCCATTCGCCAAGCGTGGCCTGTCGAAGACCACGCTTGGCGAATGGATTAAACAGGGCACAAACCGTAGTCCGGTGCTTTCTTCAGCCCCAGAGCCGCCTCCTTGGCGAGCTGGTCAGCTCGCTCATTGCCCGCCAACCCCGCGTGGGCCTTGACCCAGAATAAGGATATTTCCTTACCCTGGGCCATGCCTTGCCGAATGGCGCCTCTGGCCTCTACCGCCAGGGGATGGAGGGCATGACAGTTAATGACCGTCAGGAGTGCGGATCTGCTGTCGCTGAAGATGCCAAACGTGGTCTCGCCTCGCCTGAGAACCTCACTGGCCGCTTTGCATAGGGCCAAAAGTTCAGCCTGGTAGACGGTGCAGTGGGATGAGAGAGCAAGTTTGAGGGCCCTGGTTTCGGCTTCGCCATTCCAAATGGATAACGCTGCGCCGACCCGGCCCTCAATCTTGCTCCCGTCCGTAAAAATGCGCACCTCTGTCTTAATAGTGCTCTTTAATTGTTCCTCGTCTACCAAACTTTTGAACTCTAGGGTCCCATGCTCCGCGGGGTGTGGCATCTCTATAGCTGGAGTCATTCGTTCGATCTCTCTGTCTCCCAACCATGTTCGAATCCGCGAATCCGCGCTGTACCACGTTTAGTTGTTTTCGGACACCAAGCCCCTTTGCCGCGGCACACCAGCTGCCCGCGCCATACAAGATTACGGGTTCTACTGCTGCGACATAGATAGCTCGTATCACCTCGGGGTGAAGCCCCCAGCTAATCCGAGCCATCCGTGCCAGCTTTTGGTATATTCCGATCGCCTTTCTGCATACATTTGTTATGTGTGTGTTAAAAGTGAGCTTGTGATCAATGGTGAACCCCAGGATTTTGATTTCCTTTGACAATCCAATGTCTATCCCGAACTTCAGCTTCCGCGTGATTACCATCGCACAAGTTTTGTGCGGTGCGAATTTCAGCTTCATTCCGATCCCCCACTCCCGCACATGCTCGAGAGAGGCATTGGCTTGTCTCTCAATCTCCAGAGCCGTACTCTCATCGAAAACCAACACCACATCGTCCGCGAATGCCTGAACGTAAACCGCCCCACTCTCCAGCTGATGCAGTAGGGGATCCAGTAAGATATTGCACAGCAGGGGTCCTCCTATCGACCCTTGGACGCAACCCTTTTTCGTGGAACGGCTACACTCCTCTCCGGCATACCTGACCCTCACCCATCTGCCGCTGAAGTAACTGCTGATTGCTCGCCTTAGGTTTACTGGACACCTTTCCTCAGCCAGACGTAGCTTAATAGCTGGCCACCAGGCGCTATCGAAGGCGCCCTCTATGTCCAAGGACACCATAAGGACCATTCTCTTTTCAGCAAGTCTAGCCCTTATGTACCCCATTAGGTCATATAGGGCGTCTTCGGTGCTCCTCTGGGGCATAAAGCCGTATTGGCGAGTACTGATTTTCGGCAACAGATGATATTTAAGGCGAGCAATCAGCATCCTCCCCGCCGTAGATGGCCCGAGGTACGTCAGGGCATGTGTGGGAACCCCCATGTTCCCTCTGTGCTCCCGAAAGGGCACGCGCCGCCACCCCGGCCTGCTTCTGCTCGGGTAACAGATGGCCTCACCTGTCACCCACAGGCCTGCGTTCCCGAGCCTGGCGGCCCGGGAGAGTTCTAAACCTCTCCCAGTCCCGCTTCGCCATCTCCTTCGCAAGCATAACTTGCTCGCAGAGCCGCAAGAACTCTCGCCTCCAGGGATATTACTCTACCTAAGTTTAAGTTTACTCCTTATTACACCACGGTATAACTGTCACTGTTGATAGTTGTGCAAATGTATGCACCATGATTTATACAAAGCTTAAATATTATTGAGACTGATTAGAAAATCTAATTCTTATAAATTTAGCTATGTCAGTTTCATATGAATCTAATTCTGAAGACTGAAGATTATTTAATTATTAAAAATATGTTTTGTTCCTTAAAAGTTAAAAGTAGTTACCGAGTCTTTCACAACCCATGGTGTCTCTTTCATAGATCTGGTGCCATTAAAGAGCTCATATTAACTTTTTTTTATTCTTTATTTGTATTTCAAAATGTACAAACCTTTCAAACGTAAAATAATTTAAGTAATCATTAAAAAAAACCTAATTTTTTCAAAACAATTTATTCAAACTGTGTTTTTTTTTTCTTACTTTTTAAAACTGTTTTTTTTTGTTATACACACTCACATATAATTCTTATTGACCTAAAATCATGGTCACTAAGCGTAGAAGAACTTTAAGCTTGCCTTGTGCATGGTAGCATAGAGCAAGTGAAGAGATAATTTATTTTCGTTGAATCACAGATTTAGAACCTCTTATTTAGGTGTTAACGAACGGTCCCATTTGCTATTTCCATTTAATCCCATGTTGTAATAACATGACATGTTTACTGTTCCGAAGAAAAGTGATTGACCTTTATCAAATATAAAAAATGTACAAACAGAAAAAAAAAGATTTAATCACTTGGGATATAACGGAAATACTTTTTGGGATTCAAGGATAATACAGCGCAATTCTGTAGTATTTTTTTTATTTGGAACCCAACGGAAATAAATAATAATGTTTTGTAGGATCCAACGCCAAAAATATTCAACTTAGATTCGAAACTGGGATCCAAAAAAAAAACGTACAGAGCACTGGAATGGCAAATTTAAGTCGAAAATCAAGTTTTTTTTTTAATTGACTCCATAGAGAGACGAACTATATACATACAAGTTTGTACGGAACTTCATACAAGATTTATTTCTATACAACCAGCTTAAATTTTTATTTTTGAATTAATAAAAAAAAAAAAAAAAATTTCATTGTTGTAGAAAGTAGCCGTTAACAAAGTCACAGACTACTAAGAGTTAAATAAAACAGTAATCTGCAGACACTGAATCTGAATGTAGGTAGGTACAGTAATTCACGGAAAGAATATGTTATTTTTAATATACTTACAAAGAGAAATGAGATGCTATCAAAAACACAATATCAAGCAAAAACTAGCAACGCAGATAGCTTGGCATTTGCGTACAGAAAGGTACACTATTTAGAACAAAATGTGCCTAATATGAGCGCAATAAGCGCTGTATTTATCCAATAATAATGCCCAATTAGAACATTTTAATATGTGAATAGTGGCTATATTCTTATATAGTTATATTAAAACGCGATGATCAATACATTCCGTGCAAAAATTAAAGATGTCTTATTTTAATACGCTCACTATATTATCTCTATTGTCTTTGGTTAGTTAACTGTCACATCTGTTTATGTTAGAAGAACTGTGTTTCCAGACTTGCATATGATTCTAATACCTATGAAATTGCCGTTTTGTATGCAATAAGTGAAAGTATTTATTTTTTCAAACTTTTTTATTTCTGTTATTCGAATTAATCACCCATGAAATCGACGCATCTTTGCCAACGGATTGGCAGTTTATTGATGCCCTTCTTGTAAAAATCAGCTGGACGGGAGGCAACAAAATCTTCAAAGGCATTTTGTGCTGCGTCTCGGGAATTGAATTTATTACCCACTAAAAAGTTGTCTAAATTTTGGAAAAAGTAATAGTCGGTAGGTGCAAGGTCTGGTGAGTATGGCGGATGAGGGAGAGCTTCCAACCCCAGCTCTTGCAGCTTGGAGACTGTCTGTTGCGCAGTATGGTGTCGCGCGTTGTCGTGAAGGAGCAGTGGAGACGACCGATTGACCAAAGCTGGTTGCAGATGTGCAAGCTTCTCCATCATTCTCTCCAGTTCTTCACAGTACACACAGTAGACAACTTTTTAGTGGGTAAAAAATTCAATTCCCGAGAGGCAGTACAAAATGCCTTTGAAGAGTTTGTTGCTTCCCGTTCAGCTGATTTTTACAAGAAGGGCATCAATAAACTGCCAATGCGTTGGCAAAGATGCGTCGATTGCATGGGTGATTACTTCGAATAACAGAAATAAAAAAGTTTGAAAAAAAAAGTACTTTCACTTATTGCCTACAAAACGGCAATTTCATAGGTAAAGACCTATTATTAAGATTATATTTTACAAACTGACTGACATCTTACCAGTCTTGATACCCACAACTACTCATGAGTACAAACACCATACCGTTCTCTGAGAAGATAAACGAACATGATAATCAAATTGAAAAATAATTTTTAAGATAATAATTTTAATGATCAGATCGAGGTCAAACTCATAACGTCTACAGTAACGTAGGTATCAAGACTGGTAAGATGTCAGTTACCCTGTAACATCCGGTCAAGGTGAGCATCTTATGAACTCTCTCATCGCGTCACATATACATACATACCTACATACTCGTACATGCATATCACAATGAATCCGATTCCAATGGCGTGATAACTGGTAAATAAACTAAATATTGATATACAACAAAATAAGAATTCTACTTTATACATAATTTAAACATTATTATTAGATCATTATTTTTAAAAGATACTGTTTCTTCTTCCTATATTTCATATATTAGTCTGTAGGTATGTTAATTTGCCTAATTATGAGTAAATCTTTATTGTGAGTTTTTAAGGTGTTCCGGTTCAGTATTTATATTTCCCGATAGTACAAGATTTTATTGATACAGTTTGAAAATATTTTGTATTAACCTGAGCTCTTACGTGCCTAAGATGAAAACTAAGCTAAAATATAAATAAATATAAGCTTTTATGCACTTGAGCTAGTGATCAAGCTCTACCAACCTCATGTCGAAAATTATTATTTCATAAAATTGTATAAATTGAATTTGTAGGCTTATGGTCACTCCTTATCTTTCTAAGTAATAGTTACACGAATTTTTTGATGTTACAGTAATGTTTACATGTATATTTCACTTTGGTGTTATTGTATTTCTGATAATTTTGTTAGCAATCTGCATAAAATAATGTAAATGTTTAGGAAGTACATCACATGGGTACGTACAGCAAGTCTACCTCATTAATGGAAAAGAGATACTTAAGATGCCTTAACCTGGTAAGCGACAAGTTAAGGAATTACATACCAATAGACGCAACACTGTTTAATCCGGCAATTAAGGATATGGTATTATGCTAGTTCTTATGTGCCTAGTATTATTTTTTAGCAATACTTAATAAAGCTACAAAAGTAAAAAAAATAACAGGCGTAGTAACTGTTAAAGTGACACGGAAATGTTACATTAATGTATGACAAAGAATCAAATCTACATAAACTATTCTGATCAACTAGTCCATATTTTATTCTAACAAACGTAATTTATTGGTTTGTTATGTCATGACGTCAGTTTAAATATAAAGTATGAAAATATATGCTAACTTTAGATATAAAATCAGAAACATCATTTTAAAAAAAAACATTATTATTGAAACAGGCGAAACAGGCTCTAAACAAAGACACCTTAAGGTTCCCAGACTTGTTTCTCATAGACGACTTTCAAAACTTAGCTGGTTCATGTGTACCCTCTGCATTTCTACGATATTCCCAAAACTCGACAAAAAATGAGAAGAGCGGCCGAGTTCCTACCACGAATTAATAGTTTTGGAAAAATAATAATGAGAAT